TTCTGAGCAAGAATTTTTGTAATAGTCTGAGGGAAGCATGATTTGAAGACATAGAGCAAAAAAGTTGTCTATGAAGTATACCCTGTTGCCATGGTTCAGAAAACAACAAATAATAAAATTGAAAAGTCTCATTAAGTAATGCTGCCTATCAGACTTTGATATAGGCTCTAGAAAAAAGGCAATAAATGTTAACATGCACTTGGAAACAAAGTAAACTCACATCAAACCACATCAAAATGTTCCTGCTCTGTGCTTTATTTAACCTGGAAAAATAAAAAGGAATTCTTGCCTTCTCTCAGTCCTTTTACCTAAACTTGGAAAAAGAAGGTAGGAAGGAACACATGAAGAAATCTGTTGGGATGGGATGGACAAGCCTAGTGCTACAGAAATTTCTTAGTGTATGCAGAATGAATTCTCCAGTGAGGTGCTCCAGGTCTGATAGCTGGATGTAGCCCTAGAGAGTCACAGGCTATTAAAAAAACAAAAACAAAGACAAAAAACTTTCAGTACTATACCACTAAATGTGTGGTCCAGTGTCTGAACTTAGAGCTCAGTTGGAAAGGGTTTGATTTAGAGTTTTAGCTTTTTTTAAACGACTCCATATAAAGGCTGGGTCCAAAAGGAATTCTAAGGATCTTTTTGGCTTTATTAGTCCATGATTCAGTATAATACACATGACATTTAAAATAGCCATCCTTCTCTGCATATGATAGTGGTTCCTGAAGTAGAACCAGAAGGCAGTGTCTTGCTCTACATGAAGCTGGAACTTTTTGTATGGGCTTTCAGATGTCCATCCTGGGGCATTCTAAATGTACCTGCACTTGAGCTAGCATGGCATGTGAGCTGTTGTTTCCTATAGAGAATGATTGACTGACAAGTATTTTTGAATGCCCACGCTGTGTGAACTATGAAGTGTGGATAAGGAAACAAAGAAGTATTAGACATTGTCTCTGCTCTTAAAGAGGTTAGAATGTAGTTGGTGAGAAAAGATAAATAAATATATGTAAAAAGAGATACAAGACAGTGCTTGTTAAGTGTTTCCCTCATTTACTTGTCCCCTTTTTGAGGGATAAAATTATCATTAAATTGAGTCAGAGGCAGCATATTGCCATAGAATGAGCATTGCTTTTGGAGACAAAGGACCTGAGCTTGAATCTCTGCTCTGCTACTCACTACTTGTACGGTCTTGGGCAGTGTCTTATAAATAATAAAAATATGTAAATTGTTGCATATAATAAATATAGAAATATTATATTATATATAACACAATACATGTATTATACATAATACAATCCTTACAAATAATAAAATAAATTTTTGTTCAATTCAATCAACTAGCTTTCTTTTTTTTCAATTTATTTATTTTTACTTTTCAACATTCACTTCCACAAAATTTTGAGTTCCAAATTTTCTCCCCATCTCATCTGTCTCCCCACCCTAAGATGGCATGCATTCTGAATACCTCTTCTTCTAATCTGCCATCCCTTCTATCTCTCCCCCCTTCTCTCATCCCCTTCCCCTTCTATTTTCCTGTATTACAGGATAGATTTCTATACCCCATTTCCTGTATTTCTTATTTCCCAGTTGCATGTGAAAACAATTTTAATATGTGTTTCTTAAACTTTGGGTTCCAAATTTTCTCCCTCCCTCCCCCCCCCACCCTCATTGAAAAGGCAAGCAACTCGATACAGGTTATACATGTGTAGTCATGCAAAACACTTCCATAGTAATCATGTTGTTAAAAACTAAGTATATTTCCCTTCGTCCTGTTCCGCCCCCCATTTATTCTAGTCTCTGTTTTGACCCTGTCCCTCCTCAGAAGTGTTTGCTTCTGATTACCCCCTCCCGAAATCTGCCCTCCCCTCTATCATCCCCCTGCTCTCTTGTCCCCTTCTCCCCCTATTTTCCTGTAGGGGAAGATAGATTTCCATACCCAATTGAGTTTGTATGTTATTCTCTCCTTAAGCCAAATCCAATGAGAATAAGATTCACTTATTCCCTCTCACCTTCCCCCATTTCCCCTCCATTGTAAAAGCCTTTTCTTGTCTGTTTTATGTGAGATAATTTACCCCATTCTACTTCTCCCTCTCTCCTTCTCCCAGTATAATCCTCTCTCACCCCTTAATTTTATTCTTCAGATATGACCCCTTAATCTTCAACTCACCCTGTGCCCTCTATCTATCTATACATATGCATACATATAATTTTTTCCCTCCAGCTACCCTAATACTGGCAAAGGTCTCATGAGTTACAAATATCATCTTTCCATGTAGGAATGTAAACAGTTCAACTTTAATAAGTCTCTTATGATTTCTCTTTCCTGTTTACCTCTTCATGTTCCACTTGAGTCTTGTGTTTGAAAGTCAAATTTTCTATTCAGCTGTGGCCTTTTCATCAGGAATGCTTGAAAGTCCCCTATTTCACTGATTGACCATTTTTTCACCTGAAGGATTATACTCAGTTTTGCTGGGTAGGTGATTCTTGGTTGTAATCCTATCTCCTGTGCCCTCCGGAATATTATATTCCATGCTCTCCGAAGAAGCTGCTAAATCTTGTGTTATCCTGATTGAGTTTCCACAATACTCGAATTGTTTCTTTCTGACTGCTTCAATATTTTCTCCTTGACCTGGGAACTATGGAATTTGGCTACAGTATTCCCAGGAGTTCTCCTTTGGGGATCTCTTTCAGGAGGTAATCATTGGATTCTTTAAATTTCTATTTTGCCCTCTGGTTCTAAAATATCAGGGCAGTTTTCCTTGATAATTTCTTGAAAGATGATGTCTAGGCTCTTTTTTTTTTTTAATCATGGCTTTCAGATAGTCCAATAATTTTTAAATTCTCTCTCCTGGATCTATTTTCTAGGCCAGTTGTTTTTCTAATGAGATATTTCATGTTGTTTTCTATTTTTTCATTCTTTTGGATTTGTTTTACAGTGTCTTTATTTCTCATAAAGTCACTAGCTTCCAATTGCTCCATTCCAATTGCTCCATTCTACTTTTTAAGGAAGTATTTTTCTTCAGTAAGTTTTTGGACTTCCTTTTCCACTTGGCCAATTTTGCTTTTTAGGGCATTCTTCTCCTCATTGGCTTTTTGGACCTCTTTTGCCATTTGGGTTAGGCTATTTTTTAAGGTGTTATTTTCTTCAGTATTTTTTGGGGTCTCCTTTAGCAAGCTGTTGACTTGTTTTTCATGATTTTCTTGCATCACTCTCATTTCTCTTCCCAGTTTTTCCTCTACTTCTCTTACTTGTTTTTAAACTCCTTTTTGATCTCCTCCATGGCCTGGGACTGATTCATATTTTTCTTGGAGGCTTTGGATGTAGGAGCTTTGACTTTGTTGTTTTCTTCTGATTGTATGTTTTGATCTTCTTTGTTACCAAAGAAAGATTCAGTCATCTTTTTTTTTTTTGCAGTTTTGTTTGTTCACGATCCCAGCCAATTACTTGAGTTTTAAACTCTTTGTTAAGGTAGAGGTCTCCTTCCAGTGTAGAGAATGTACTGTCCCAGGCTTTGGGGGTTTTGTGCTTTTGGGGGGTTTTCTGAAGTATCAGAGATACTTCTAGGGACCTATAAATTTTCAGTTCTTCCAAGGTGGTATGATAAGGGGCTAGGTGTTTACTTCTTTTCTGGCCTGTTCTCTGGTCTATGAGTGACCACAAGCACTTTCTTCTCCCTTGGAACTGTAAAGAGGAGTCCCTCTCCATCAGCACTACAAGCTCCACCATGCCAGCACTTGGTGTTTGTGGGTTAAGAAGTCTGGAAGCTGCCAGAGCTGCCTGTGATTCAGTCCTTTGAGGCCTTCTTCAGGTTCACTGAGGCCTGGTTTGCCTGCATGCTTATGCCAAACTGCACTCCTCTCCCAGCCCAGCACAATATACCTTTTGGGTTAACTATCCAGGCTGTCTTGGGCTGTAAATTTGTTTCACTCAGTCTTTTTGTGGGTTCTGCTGCTTTAGAATTTCTTTAGAGCTATTTTTTACAGGTATTTGGAGGGGGTTGGGGGAGAGCTCAAGCAAGTGTTTTTTACTTTTACTCCGTTATCTTGGCTCCACGCCCTCTCTACTAACTTTCTTAAGTGCCTACAATGTGCCAGGTGCCGTATATGTACTGAGGTCACAAAGACAAAAACAAAACAATCTGTACTTTTACAAAGTGATATTATAATGGGACAGACAACATTAACATATGTTGGTAAACATAAAACACATACAAGACAAAAGATGCAAAATAACCTGGGGGAAAAGCACTAAGTAGCTGGATCAGAAAAAACTCATACCGAAGGTGGTACTGAAGCTGAATCCTGAAAGAGACCAGGCATTCCAGTAGGTAGAGGTGAGGAAGGAGAATATGCCAGGCACAGGAGACAGACAATGCAAAGATATGAAGGTAGGAGATGGTGGGTGATGTGTAAAGAAACAGCAGAGAGGCCAGTTTGACTGAACAAAGTGTATAAAATGGAATCATGTAATAAGGCAGGAAAGGTAGGATGAGACTAGATTATAAAGAGCTTTAAATGACAAACAATATGTATTTCGTCATAGAATTCATAGGGAGTCACTGGATTTTTTGAGTGGAGGAGGGTGACATGGTCAGACCTGTACCATAGGAAAATCACTTTGGCATTGTATTAAATATGACTTCTCTAGGCCTCTGTTTGCTCATCTGGAAATTAAGGGATTGGACTAGATAACTTATGAAGAGCCTTCTAGCTCTAAAGTGTAGTGTCGCTTTGTTAACAAGCTATTTTATTTTTAAAGAAAATTTTTTAATAAATTTTATTTTAATTTTCAATGGAGATACATAAGAATTCAGATATATGATTAAGAACAAAAAGAAAGGAAAGACAAGCAAAAGCAAGAACAAAACAATGAAAAAACTACCAAGTTTTCTCAGTGTGAAGGATACTCAGGGATCTGAGTTGTGTCCTTAGATATTATCAGTAATAACTTCAGAATCATTCTGTGATCTTAATTTAATGCTCCTTTTGTTTTCTCTTAATAGTATACAATGCTGTCAGGACAGGTTCCATTCCAGTCTCACGACAAAAGTTTAACTACCAGTGCAGTAGAAATCATGAAAAAAATTAAAAAAGGTGATTTCTCTTTCGAAGGAGAAGCCTGGAAGAATGTATCCCAGGAAGCCAAAGATCTGATTCAAGGTAAATAGGTTTTGATTTTTTAATATTTTATTAGGCTTCATGATTATAATTAAAGTACCTGTATATACTTTTTTTTGGCCAGGAAATCAAGTATATTCTTTCAGTTCTCACGACTATGTTCACTTAAAGTTTACAGTGTGATCTTTTTGTAAAAATTAATTATTTTAGAAAAGAGGATCAGTGAAAGAGACAGTTAGGAGGAGTCATTAAGCCAGTGTTGGATCATTTTGAAAAAACGAAATTACCTAGGAGAGAACTCTCTGTTTGATGAGAGTTTCTGGGAAAATTGAAAAGAATTCTGACAGAAATTAGACAAAGAAATAAAATTGTAAAATAAATTCAAAATGCTTATGTGAATTGAATATTTAGGATCATACCATAAATAAGAGAACCAGGTCAGGTATCTTTCATAGCTATGGTTAGGGTGTGAATAATTAAGCAAAAAAAGGGATAAAAATAATTACAAAATATAAAATAAATAATTTTGATTACATTAAATTGAAATGCTTTTGTATGAATAAGACTAATGTAACTAGGAGAAGAGGGGAAAGGGTTGACTCCGGGATAAACCTTTGTAATAAATATATCTGATAAAGGTCTGATATCCAGTAAGTCAGCTAGCAGAAACATGTAAGACCAAAAGCCATTTCCTGAGCAATAAGTGGTCAAAGGATATGAACAAATCATTCATAAAAAAAAAGAATTACAATTATTAACAATCCTGTGACAGGTTACTCCAAATCACTAGTAACAGTAGGAATGCAAGTTAAAAACAACTTGGAATTTTCAGCTCAGACCCAGAAAACTGACAGAAGTGATCAAAGATCAGAATAGTCAGTGTTGGAGAAGCTGTAGAAAGACAGACTCTGTTGAGGGAGCTATGAATTCATCTGACCATCTGAGAAGTAATTTGGGAGAATGGCAAAGATAGCAGAGTAGAAGGAAATAGTACAGCCCAGCTCTTTCTCACAACAACTTAGACAAAGATTGAGAAAGAGCATCAGACTGAGTAGTGATTGGGAAATCCAAGGAGAAACCTCAGGGGACCATTTTTCCAGTGAGAGTCAGCCCACAGACAAGTAACTAGGGCAGGAAATACAGACCAAGGGTGAGTATGTAGCTCTGTTGTTGTGACCCTAGAGCAGGAACCTGGATTCAGCCAGTAGGCAAAGGGATGGAGGAATATTAAATACTGTCATTGCCTACCTAGTCTCTGAGGTTTGTAGGCTCCTAACCCTGGTTTGGGTTCAGGCAAAAAAAAAAACAAACTCTAGGCTTGACCTGTGAATGGAGTTTCAGAAGACAATTGCAGGCCTCATTCCCTGTGAGGTAGCTGGAGAGCAACAGACCTGTTGGCCAACCCCTGGTCCACAGTCTCTGTCTTCATTACTGGCCTATGGGTTGAATCCTCTCTTGGGATTTTAAATTGCTGTTAGGATCAGGGATCAGCCACAGAGCTATGGGCCACCCCCGTTCCCAAGTCCTTTTAACTCTACCTGCTTGAAGTTTGTAGCTTGAGCCTCTCCTAAGATCTTTGAAAAAAGCAACATTCAAAAACCCAGCAGGAAGAAGGACAATAGAAGACCGTGCATTATCTAGAGCAGTACACAAAGCTTGGCCATAACACCAATTCCCAATATGGGAAGTAAGGCTGGAAAATTAGTAAAGAAAAACAACAGCAACAACAAAGAGCTATGATGGGACCAAAGATGCCCAAGACACAAACCCAGAAAAAGAGAATTCCTCCAATCCTAAAAAGCCTCGAAGAAAAAAACAGTTTGGCAAGACTGAAAGAAAAGAAGCAAAAAATATTTTTTAAAGACTTAAAAATTATATTATCAAATGAAAGGGAGCTCTAGAAGAAAACTGGAAAAGAAATGAGAGTTCTGCAGAAAAACCTTCAAGAGAAAATTAACAATTTATTTTACAAAAGGTTTAAATATTACTCAAACAAGAGAGTCCTTGAAAATTAGAATAGACTAAGGAGAATGACTCCATAAAACATGAAAAAATACTAAAATAAATTCAAAAGACTGAAAAATATAGAAAAATATTTTTTAAAAAAAAACAGTGGCTCTAGAAAATAAGTTAGAGAGGGAAAAAAATCTAAGAATCTCTGGATTACTTGAAAGTTATAACCAAAAAAACAGAGCCTAGATACCATAGTTCGAGAAATCACAAATTATTCTAACATCTACCAGAATCAGACAGCAAAGCGAATATTGAAATAATCCATCACTTCCGGAAAGAAACCCCAAAATGAAAATTCCAAGGAACATCACAGCCAAAATCTAGGTCCTTTAGGTAAAAGAAAAAATACTGCAAGAGCATAATAAAGAATTCAAGTGCTGAAGAGTCATAGTCAGGATCACACATGATTTAGCTACCACTATAAAAAAGTGAAAAGGTTAGAATATCATATTCCAAAAGACAAAAGATATAGGCTGATAACCACAAATAACTTACTCAGCTGAACTGAATATAATCCTCCTGTACATGAAATAAACAGCTTCCAAACATTCCTGATAAAAGAGACCAGAGCTGAGTAGATACTTTGAAATGTAAACACAGGAGTCGAGAGGAACATAAAAAGGCAAATGATGATTAAGCAAACAAGAAAGACAGACTACACAAGAATGAAGTATTTAGATTCTAAGAGGGGGATATGATACAAATATCCCTTCAGGACCCTAAATATCATCAGGGGACATAGAGGGAATTAAATAAGACAGAGGTCCTGGGAGTGGTTTCGTTACACTTTGTTAATTTTTAAGGGAAGGGAAAGTAAAAGGAATATAGTAGGAAAGAAAAAGAGGGGAATAGGGGAAGAATTATCTCATATAATTTGGGTGTGCTGGTAGAAGACTATACACAGAGGAAGGGATGGAGAGGGAACTGGTATCATTTAAGTGTCATTTTCATCTGAACTGTTCAAAGAATGATGGAACACACGTGAACTTACACACATACAAAAAGAATGATATAGAAATATATTCAACTCAGTAGGAAAGCAGAAGGGAAATGGGAGAGGAAAGAGAGGAATAGGAAGAGCATAAGTGGGAGGAGTCAGTCATTTTCAGTCCTTTGTGGCCCCATTTGGGATTTTCTTGGCAAACGTACTGGAGTGGTTTTATCATTTCCTTCTCCAGCTTGTTTTATAGATGAGTCAGTTAAATGACTTGCCCAGGGTCACACAGGTAGTAAATGTCTGAGACTGGACTTAAACTCAGGTCTTCCTGGCTCCAAGCCCACCATGCCACCTAGCTGCCCAAGGGAGGGAGTAGTCATAAGCAAAATAAATTCTAGCCAAGGGGGGTAGGATTGGAGGGTTTAAAATAGAAGGAAATAGGGATAAGGACTTTTGATTTAAGTCTGAAAGAGAAGATAAGAAAAATGAGATGGGAGGGCAGATTATAGCAAACATAGAGCACTGGTGCTGAGACATTTCTTATTCGCTACCCTCTTTGTGAAGAGAAAGCTATAGGGTAAACAGGAAAAAATTATCATAAAGTATCATAAAAGAATCAAAGTATCATGGAAATCATAATAATATTTTCCTCACAGAATTATTGTGAAGATCAAATAGCACTATATAAATATTAGGTATTACTATTTCCTAATAGAATGACAGAACGGATTAAAAAGCAGAATCCAACAATATGTTGTTTATAAGAAATATACTTTAAAAAGATTCACACAGTTAAAATAAAGTATGGGAGTAGAATCTATTATGCTTCAGGTGAACTCAAAAAAGATCATGTAGTAATCACATTCTCAGACAAGATCACACCTAAAAATAGACTCAAATAAAAGACATAAATAGGGAAACTACATTTTGCTAAAAGGTACTATGAACAGTGAACTCATCTCAGTACTTAACGTATATGCATCAAAAGCCATGATATCCAAATTCTTAAAGAAATAGCTAAATGAGTTATAAGGACAAATAGACAGTAAAACTATAATTATTGGGGATCTCCATATAGTCCTTTAAGAAGCAGATAAATCTAACAAAAATAAACAAGAAAGTACCAGATCTCAAACTTTTTTATAAAGTAGTAATCGTCAGAGCAGTCTGATACTGGCTAAGAAATAGAGTGGTGCATAAGTGGAATAGATTAGGTACAAAATATATTGTAGTAAATGACCATAGTAATTTAGTGTTTGATAAACCTAAGGATCTAAGCTTTTGGGATAAAAACTCGCTTATTTGACCAAAACTTCTACAAAACAATTAGTTTTCTAACATTACATAAACTGTTTGTAAAAATAGGAAAAGAAAGATCCTACCAGATTCCTTTTATAATACATATATAGTCTTAATAACTAAATGGGAAAGCCAAAACAGAGAAGGGAAACTATACTCCAGATTCTTACTGAATATTGACAGATTTTTTAAAAATATTAGCAAAGATGCCACAGAAACATTAAAAAAAAATTGTACACTATAACCAGGTTAGATTTATCCTAGAAATGAGGATTGATTGAATATCAGAGTAACTGTCAACATAATAGGCCATAGTATTATCAAAAAAAATTTTGTATTATTTTATCAATAGATGAAGAAAGTTTTTGCCATAATGCAATACCCATTTCTACTTTAAAAAAAACCCTAGGAATAATCTAAGTAAATAGACCTTTCTTTAATGGAGTAACTAGCATCTATCTAAAACAGAGAGCCAGCATTGTTTGTAATAAATAATAATAATAACTAGACTTTTCAAAAATCAAGGATGTCTGTTATCACTGCTACTAATTGTTAAAGTGCTAGAAATATTAACTGTAACAATAAGACAAAAAGAAGTTGTAGGATTAAGCATAGGCAAAGAGAAAACAAAATTGTCACTTTTGCAGATAAGATGATTTACTTAGAACCCTAGGGAGTAAAAAAAAAAAATCGAAACTATAACTTAAGCGAAGTTGCAGGATATAAAATTAATCCACATAAATCACCAGGATTTTTGTATATTACTAACAAAACCCAGCAGGAAGAGCTAGGAAGAAAAATCCCTTTCAAAGTAACACAAAAAAATAACTAGGGAGGCTACCTACCAAGATACACAGGAACTATATGAATACAAGTACAATTTGTTTAAAAAATTTATTTCATTTTATTTTATTTTTCAATTAACGAGCACTTATTTTCGTGCCTTTTTCACTTCTGCTCTCCCTTGGGAAAAAATAAAAACAAAACCCTTATAACTAATATCCATAATCAAGCAAAACAAATTGCCACAATAGCCATGTCAAAAAATGTATGTTTCATTCTGCATCTTGAATTCATCATCTCTGTCAGAAAATGGACAGAATGCTTCATCAGTTGCCCTTTGTAATCCTTGTGGTTCATTGCCACGTATCAGAGTTCTTAAGTTTTTCAGAGTTGTTTAAAAAAATACTTCTCATGTAAATAAGCACCTAAATAATATGAGAAATATTAATTAATGAGTGAGCTGAATCAATATCATAAAAATGATAATACTACCTAAATAAATTTACTTATTCAGTGCCAGACCAATCAAGCTACCAAAAGATTTCTTTACAGAACAATAAAAAATAATGAAATGCATCTGGAGGAACAAAAGGTAATGAATCTCAAGTGAAAATTATTTTTTAAATTGGGTCAGAAGGGGACCTTTGAGTACCATATCCCAAACTGTACAAAGCTGTAATCAAAACTGTTTGGCATTGGTTAAGAAATAGGTGAATCAGTGCAACAGACTAACTTAAACATGGAAGCGAATGAGCAGAGTAGCCTAGTGTGTGATAAACTCAAAGACCCCTAGATGGTGGGGTAAATACTCACTGCTTGACAAAAATTGCTGGAAAAACTAGAAAGCGTTCTGGTAGAAATTAGGTTTAGATCAGTACCTCAAATCATACACCAAAATAAGCTCCAAATGGATATACAACTTAGATATTAAAGAATGACATCATAAACAAATTAGGAAAGCAAGAAGGAAATCGTTTCTATGGATATGACCATTCAAGGGATAGAGAGAAGACAAAATGGACAGTTTTAATTACCTAAAATATTTTTTTTGCTTAAACAAAACCATTACAGCTAAGATTAGAAGAGAAACAACTGGCAAAAAAATTTTCAGCAGATTTCTCTGATAAAAGTCTCATTTTCAAGATATATAAGGAACTCAAATTTATAAAAATAAGTGGTTTTCTTTCCCCTATTAATAAGTGATCAAAAATATTTGAACAGGAAGTATTAAAGCAATAAATACAAGCTATCAATAAACACATAAAATGTCCTAAATCATTAATAAAGAAAAGCAGATTAAAGTAACTCTGAGGTTTCATCTCAGATTGGCAAAGATACCCCAAAAAAGTATAGTGACAAATGTTGGTAAGGAAATGTTGTGAAAAACAAACATCGGAGGAAAAAGACCTATTTTTGGAGCTATGGATTGGCACAGCCACTCTGGAAAGCAATTTGGAGCTATGCCTCCCAAATACTACTAAACTATACATACTTTTTAACCCAGCTATATTAGTACTACGAGGTCAAATGCCAAAAAATATCAAAAAAAAAAAAAAGATGACGACACATTTGATTTTTATGGGGTTTTTGTTGTTGTTGTTGTTTGGAGGCAGTCGGGGTTAAGTGGCTTGCTTGGCCAGGGTCACACAGCTCATTAAGTGTCTGAGATCAAATCTGAACTCAGATCTTCCTAACTCCAGGGTTGGTGCTCTCTATCCACTGTACCACCTACCTGCACCATGGACCCATTTCTGCAAAAGTATTTTTTCTTTCTAAATGTTTAAGCAAAAAATTGCAAATAGAGAATGCTTGCTCAGGGAATGGCAACCAATTATAACATGTGGGTGTAATAGAATACTATTGTGCTTTAAGAGATCCTAAAAGGGATGAGTTCAAAGAAATCTGGAAAGACGTATGTAAAACAATTCAAAGTAAGGTGATAACCAGGAGAATTTCTATAATAACATTGTAAATGTAAATTTGAAAGATTTAAAAGCTCTGATCAGTACAGTGACCAACCAGGATTCCAGAGGACCAATGAGGAAGCATGTTACCCTCCTCCTGATTGAGAACTGATGGACTCATGCTGCAGAATGAGACATACGTTTTTAGACATGCCCAATGTGGTAATCTGAATATGTATTTTTTTCCATTGTGAGAGGGCAATTTTCCATTGTGAGAGGACAAAAAAATAAGGACTTGTTAATTTAAGATAAAGTAATCTTTAAAAAGAAGTTCAGAATTATCTTATGAAAGTGATTAAGATGTCTATACCCTTTAAGAAATGATTATTATGGGGGCAGCTAGGTGATGCAGTGCATAGAGTTCCAGCCTGGGAGTCAGGAGGACCTGAGTCAGACACTTGACACTTAACTAACTGTGTGACCCTGGGCACGTCACTTAACCCCAATTGCCTAAGCCAAAAAAAAAATGATTATTATGATAAAGAGAGACAATAGTAGATGCAAAATACAGTAAGGAGAACTAGAAAAACAATATCTACAAAGACTACAACAATGTAAATAGAAAGAAAAACAACAATGAAACAATTAAAACTGAATGCTATGAAATTATAATTAGCAAGCTTGGCCCTGGAGAAGAGTTGCAAAACTGTATCCCTCCCATCTTTACAGAGGTAGGGGAATAACATGTGGAATAATGTGCATGTCAGACATAGGTTGATGGTTAGTTGATTTTGCTAAACTGCTTTTTTTTGACTATGTTCAGCAATTAAGGTGATATAAAACCAAAAGATATTGTTTAAAATTCTTTTAGTGATTTTATGATAGTTGAAAATTCATTTAGTCTTTCTGCATTTTCCTAGGTAACAGTTAACTTAATATCACCATTTAGTGTTCAGAGAAGGGTTAATTTCAAATTAAAATTTGATGTTTCGGGTTTGAAGACTTGTAGACTCCCTCGTGTTACATATTCAGATTTATGTCGTCTTAATATTTACAAATTTCAAATGTCTTAGAAATCTTCCTTAACACTAAATATTTGGGTTTTTTTGTTTTGTCTCATTAGCTCTACTAGACTGTGAGTTCCTTGAGAACAGACCTTCTTTCTGGCTTCTTTACCTTTGTATCTCCTATAGCATTGAGCACAGTGCCTTGCACAAAGTCACCGCTCTCTGTGTTGAACTGTATAAAATAAAAATACCTTATATATTTCTACCAGGACTTCTTACAGTGGATCCCAATAAGAGACTTAAAATGTCTGGCTTGAGGTACAATGAATGGCTTCAAGATGGCAGTCAGCTGTCCTCCAATCCTTTGATGACTCCAGATATACTAGGATCTTCAGGAGCTGCTGTACATACCTGTGTAAAAGCAACGTTTCATGTAAGGGCAAATATGCTTTGAAAGCAAACTGAAGTTTAGAATAAGATTATAAATTGATTTTGCTTTTAATGTTATGAATGGAATCTCTCGTAAGTGCAGTTTTTGTTGTTGTTTTGTTATTAGGCAGTTGGGGTTAAGTGACTTGCCCAAGGTCACACAGCTAGTAAGTGTCAAGTGTTTGGTCTGAGGCTGGATTTGAACTCAAGTATTCCTGACTTCAGGGCCGGTGCTATATCCACTATATGCTACCTAGCTCCCGCCCTATTTTTTGTGTAGTAGCTTCAATGTATGCTAATATATGTAGAAAATAATATATATTTAATGGATCAGATTCACTTCTGGTTCGACATAACTCTTTATTTGAATATCAAAAGGAATTACAAAAGGGTATTTTACTTAACAGTTCCATAATTTTAAGTAGCAAATTTAAACTGTTTGTAATATGACTTGCCACAATGGAAAAAATTCCGGGCTGTTTACTTTAAAAAACATAAACGTTTGTGTTGAAACTGTATAATCTATACTAAAATAAAGCCGTTCCTTCAGTAAGTAGTTATTATGTATGTAACATTCTACAAAATGCCAACATGAATACGAAGGAAGCAGAAAATCCAGTACCCGTGCTCAACTAGTTTGCTGTCTAGTTGGAGAGTTAAGATATGCCGTGTGAATGTGTGTCTGTGTATCTGTCTTGTGTCTATGTTTCTCTGTGTGTACTATAGGTGTTGCAGTGGATAGTGTTGGACCTGGAGTCAAGAAGACCTGAGTTCAAATGTAGCCACATAGGTCACACACTAGCTCTGTGACCCTGGGCAAGATACTTAACCTTTTGTTTGCCTCAGTTTCCCTCATCTGTAAAATGGAGATAAGAATATCACCCACATCACAGGGTTGTTGTGATCATCAGATGAGATAATATTTAAAAAGCACTTACCACAGTGCCTGGCACATAGTAAGCACTATGTAAATGTTAGCTGTCATTATTATTATTGTTGTTATTAGTGAAGAAACTCAATAAAATTTCAGCCTAATATGAAGTACATATTATTATGGTAACTGATCGTGTACAAAAGTGCTGAGCTATAATTCAGGAAAAGTCAGCGTTGTGTGGAAATAGTCAGGAACAAGTAAAACAGCCTAAAGAGATTTTTTAGAAAGGAGGAGGACAGTGTTTCCTTTGAGACTGAAGAGGAGAATGAGAGAATAAAGGTCAGGATAAGGCATGTGTATTGAAGAAAAGAGAAATTCTAGTAGGAGAGCTTTATGTAGGTGGCCTAGATTGTGCCAGCTTCATAGACATAATAGCTGCAGAGTAGGGATGAGAGTGGGGGGACAGCTAGGTGTCACAGTGGATAGCGCACTGCGCCTCGGACACTTCCAAGCTATGTGACCCTGGGCAAGTCACTTAACCCTGTTTGCCTCAGTTTCCTTATCTGTAAAATGAGCTGGAGGAGAAAATGGCAAGCTACTCCTGTCTGTCTGCCAAGAAAACCTCAAATGAGGTCACAAAGAGTCAGACATGACTGAAGATGACTGAACAAAAAAAGCTGGAGCTGGGGACTAAAGGAGAATAGTTTCAGCATAGTCATGATGAGGAGTTAGCCAAGGAATCAATGAGGGACTTTTTATAGTAACCAGGAACAAGTTACTGGGCCCAGAGTGTTGGACTTGGAGTCAGGAAGACATCTAAGTTAAACTGAACTATAATGGAACATAGCTGCTCAGTTTGGGTGCTCGGTGATAAAAATTTCAAAGACCTGGCGCCAGTAAAATAGTGGTGTTCTAAATTGTTAGCATTGTCCAGATATTTATAGTTAATCAATAATTTCCTAAATTGAGTCTAATTGATTTCTTCCAGGGATTACATAGAATCTTTGGCCTGCACATTATATTTCAAAGGGGGCAATTTTGTTATGCTGCACAACTTTTAGAAATATTCCTCCCATGGCCTACTTTACCATCCTAAATAACCTAATACACAAGAGAGTTGTTGTTTCTATGAGGAACCATATCACACCTATCAGATTGGCCAACATGACAAAACATGAAAATGATAAATGTTGGAGAAGATGTGGGAAAATTGGAAGACTAATGCATTGTGAAATGATCCAGCCATTTTGGAGAGCAATTTGGAACTATGCCCAAAGGGCTATGAAAATGTGCATACCCTTTGACCCAGCAATAGCACTTCTAGGGCTGTATCCCAAAGAGATCATAAAAAAGGGAAAAGGACCCACATGTACAAAAACACATATAGTAGCTCTTTTTGTGGTGGCAAAGACTTGGAAATTGAGAGGATGCCCATCAATTGGGGAGTGGCTGAGCAAGTTGTGGTATATGAATGTAAATGGAATACTATTGTGCTGTAAGAAATAATGAACAGGCTGACTTCAGAAAAACCTGGAAAGACTGTATGGTCTGATTCTGAGTGAAGTGGGCAGAACCAGGAGAACATTGTACACAATAACAGCCATGTTGTGCATGACTAACTTTGATAGACTTAGCCCTTCTTAGCAATACAAGGATCTAAGACATCTCCAAAGGCCTCGTGATGGAAAATGTTATCCACATCCGAAGAAAGAACTGTGGAGTTTGAATGCAGATCGAAGCATACTATTTGCTATTTTTTTTCTTCTGTTTTGTTTTGTTTCCTCTTTCTGGTGGTTCCTCCTATTGGTTCTAATTCTTATTTACAAACATGAAAATATGTTTAATAGGAATGTGGTGGGGAAGGAGGAGGAGAAAAATTTAAAACTCAAAAGCTTATGGAAGTGATTGTTGACAAATCAAAATAAATTTTAAAAAAAGAAAAGAGAATAGTTTGGGAGAGGTAAAAATCAGAAGCAAAACACTTTTGATAATGGACAATATAAAAAGAGAGAGTAGGATAAATAGGGAGAAAATAAGAGGGAGGAAAATACATAGTTGGTAATTATTACTATGAAAAAAAATTTTTACGATGAGTTTCTCTGATAAAGATTTCATTTCTCAAACATAAAAAAAGAGGGAGAGTTGTTGTTGTAAGTTGTTTCCAAATCTTTGTGACCCTGTTTGGGGTATTCTTAGCAAAGATATTGGCAAAGATTTGCCCTTTCTTTCTCCAGCTCATTTTACAGATGAAGAAACTAAGGCAAGCAGAGATAAGTGACTTGCCCAAGGTCACACAGCAAAGAAATGTCTGAGGCTGAATTTGAACTCGGGTCTTACTGACTCTAGAGTCGCGGCCCACCGCCTACCCCACCTAGCTGCCCATTCAGGAGGAAGGGAATGCCAAAATGTTGGTTCTTGTCACAGTAAGTCATGACTTAATCAGTGTAATCTATATTAACATATTCTTACCCTAACATATGTCATTTTTATTCCCATTAGGCCTTTAACAAGTACAAGAGGGAGGGGTTCTGCCTTCAGAATGTTGATAAGGCTCCTCTCGCAAAGAGAAGGAAAATGAAGAAAACCAGCACGAGTACAGAGACACGCAGCAGTTCAAGTGAAAGTTCTCATTCTTCTTCCTCTCATTCTCATGGTAAAACTACACCGACAAAGACACTGCAGCCGAGCAACCCTGATAGCAATAATCCAGAAGCCATCTTCCAGTTCTCTGACTGAAGAACACACCAGTGGTGGGAGTGGGGACACACTGCACCTTTACTTGCCCCGATTTAGAACTGAGAGGTGTTTATTGATTTTAAAAAATACCTGCCACGTCCTCTTGCTCTCATTTGAATTCTGCCCTTTAATGAATTTCTTCTAAATAACCTGTTTGGTTTGTCCTTGTCCAGCTATTCTGGACACAGTATATTACTGTGAATAGAGCTAGTGTTAACACTGTTTGGAAATCAAAAATAATATCTATCAACAATACTTTTCTTAAAAGAGCAAAGCTTTCAGTAAATTTAATTGGAGGTTTTTCCCAGCTGTTTAGCTTTGAGCTGCTTACAAAATATGTCTTAGTTTTTTTAGATGTCTGCTAACAGGAATTGGCCTTTGCTAAGATGACCATTTGTTTCCACTTTGGATGGCATGGGATTTAAAAGAAAACTTTGCACCCTTTGCGCAATGACTTACCAGTGAAGATGGTTGGCTTTTCATAAGGAATTTGTGATGAATTTAATGTGTTAAATATGTTTGTTTCTTGAGGGAAGGTTTTAACTTATTGTTTCTAGTTTGTGATTATAGATGATGATAACCTATTAATGTAAATTTTTTTCTTTTTGAAAAGGATTAAAAAACATAAGATCCCACAGTATGTATTTGGGATCCATATGAAATGCATGTTAAGCTATGTACGTTTTTAATTACACACTGCTCTTTCCTAGCAATGTTTTAATGGATATTGAAAAAACCTTAGGGTACATTTATCTCTTTTCTAAGTCATATTGCGCTTTATGAAGGAGTGTGATGAAAGAAAGCAGATTGTTTTATAAAGTGCACAGCTTATAGCACATGTACTGTATTTTAAACATTTTTTCCATTATCTACTTTAAATTACTCCTCACATCCCTCTTCTACTTTGTATGCAACAAATAGAATAGGCCTGGCTGTATGATGAAATCATAAGCCACTTATGCACTGATGTGAGGACAAACTAAAGGGAAATTTTACTAAACACTGTGCTTCATAACTGTACACTGTGTTGTGCTACAGGGAAGGATTTCCTCCTCTGGTAGTTTATTATGTATATAATTATTTTAGCATCATAAATGTGATTTGTTTTGAAACATTTCAGTTGTTAACTTTTAAATATGAAAAAACATTTTATAAACTTATGCAGAGCACTTTTATTGCTCAAGTGCTGAACTCATATGGAAATCTTAAGTGCTAACTTTTTGTTTAAGAAGTGTCATTAAGAGCTTGCTGCATTTTAAAATTAAATAAATCCATTCCCTATGCAAAAAAACAACAACAAAAAGGTTATAGGAACTGTAGGTTAGTTTTTATTTTACAGAAATCACAGGGAGTCGTAAGGACTCTGAAAATCAAGATTAGCCATGTTTACAGGAATGTGTGTAATAAAGCCAAGACTAACGTTTATTTTGTGGTTTTAATCAATGATAACCTTTTGAGTATTTGGGAAAGGATTTGGGCATGAACTTACTTTATTTATTACTTTCTTGATGGTAACATCAAAGATAATAGCAGCATTAACTTTAGCCTGATGTGAATACTGAAATATTGCACTGTTTAACATAGTAATATATTTAATATTAAATCATTATGTAATTGATGTCACTGGGAATGAAATGGCCAACATTGATATTTTCAAAATATGGATATAAATTTTATTCATATTTTCTTCTTAATGATTATTAAGAGTAATTTTTTTCTATTTTTGAAAGAGCCCAATGGTTTCATAATTCTTATTGAGTCAGGGATTGTTATTTGTGCACTAGGTATTTAAGTAATGATGGGAAAGCCTAGAATGAATTACCACAATCCACAAATAGTTCACAGAATATGCAAATAAAACATAAATTTTTAATATTCATTAAAATTTCCATTAATAGCAAATGTTATTCTATAACTAGTTTTTTTGAACTGTACCATAAAGTAGTAAATGATGCAGTTGCCAGATAGACCTAAAGGGATTTTCTTGTATAAAGGAAATAGTTAAGGAAAATTTTCAAACAATATGCTATTGGTGATGTGGTTGTTGCTAGCTTAGAGTGAACATTAGAAAACTGACAGATGTAATTTTCATTTCTTCTTTCCCCTGTCCTCCTTTGATGGAAGAGCTTATAAGTGATAAAATAAGCAAAAAAACACACGTTAACTAATGACCCATCTCTTAATCAAGGATTAACTCTGATAAGGCTTCAAATTAAGTCCATAGTAATGCCTCCCTTTTCAAAATTCTCCTTCCCCTAATTATAAATACCAGAAGGTCACTATTTAATGTATTATGCTCTTGTAATTAGCACCATTTAAATTTGGATTCAGATTTTCGTAATATACAATGCATTACATTTTGAAATTCATGCTTTCAGGTTACTAAAATAGAAAACAGTTTTCCTGCATGCAAAATGTTAAGGTGAAATGACTGTCTTCTTTATCTATAGATAATGAAAATAACCAAAAAGAGATATATGAATACCTTTATACTGTTAGTGTGGCAGACTGCAATTCCACCCAAATCTACCACTACCACATCCTACAGCATTTTTACTGTATGAATGTATTTGTTTGGGGAATATGTGATTTGATCCATTATAAGTTCTAGTTAATGGGGTACTATTTTCTTTTGAATCTTAATATCAATGATTGAGATATGAATAAAGATGATACTATAGAAAGCAAAAAAATCAGTTTTTTAGCTTTATAGAAATTATGATTCTCCACAGTCCATCATTATCCACAAGATGAGATCCTTTTAGGTGAGTAAATATGTATTAGATATTTTGAAATACATTAACTCCTTCAGTTATCTAGGAAATACCTCTGAGAGAGTAAGTTAGTAAATCATATACCTGTTTTTCTGAAACAGTTAATGCACATCCCAGTATACCTGTCTTGAATTCCAGTATTAGTTCTGTTTCCACTTGAAATTAGTCTTAATATTAATGCTTCTAATGTTTCTAAAGTGATTACATAATGAATGCACTTAATTATACGAGAAATTATTTTAAAAGACTAGTAGAATTGCAAAAACTTTTTATTTACAGAAGACTTACAAAATCTATTTTGAATGTCACATTATTTTTAAATATATTCTCAAATATTATTTTATGAGAACGTAACTTCAATTTAATGTGTTTTTATTCACCTCTTTGAATTAGCTGTGTTAGACATTCACTAGGAAACAGGTTTTTGTTGGGGGACCATTTCTAATTTATTGTTCCTTTCTATTACCCAGGATGTGTTAATTATTCAGTGTAGTCTTCTCTTGGCTAGTAATAAGAGAAGAGGTTTGTTTATGTAATCAAGTTCCTAATAATTATTAATTCCTAAAAAGCTAAGTTTATTTATGGTAAGCACTTAAATGATGGCAAAAATAATTGTCTTGTAGATTAATTCTATTATAGTGTTATTAAATATCTTTTTATTTTTGATTTTTTTAATAAATTTGGAAAAGTTATCTTACTAAAGCCTATCATATTTCCTTATGATAATTAAATATATCATTCACATGTATATCTTCTTTAGGAAACTGGTTCTTTAAAAAACTAATATAGCAGAAAGTTATTGAATCAAGAATTTTAATAGGAGGCAATTTTTAAATTGTAAGGGCTCAAGGGATAAAAGAATAGGGAAAGAAATGTTTGTCTATTAAAATACTGTAAAAATTCTTAACCCACAGAAAAAAGTCTCTACAGCTGCCTTGTAGGTTTTATTCAGCTATTCATTTTCCTAATCAAGCTCACCTCAAACTATGACATTTCTTAGAAATGAAAGATGTGTCCCCAAAAAGATATCAAACTATGACATTTCTTAGAAATGAAAGATGTGTCCCCAAAAAGATAGTTTCTGTATAAAGTGCTTTTAGATATGGATTTCAAGAAGAAAGGGGCAATTTTTTCACCGTAAGAGCACTTCACAATCCTGATTTCAATCTTGATCTGTAGTATTTTGTCTTTTGAGCTTTCGCAGGTGATTCTGGCCTGTTTCCTTCTTTCCATTTCTTTGCTTCCAGTTGTATTTTTAGCTGGGTGCTTGCCATTGAAATTTGTTTCCTTGTCTAAAGTTGTTTGTCCATCCTGTTTCATGAGTCTGGAAATTGGCCAGCTACCATTGCTCTGTATGTTGCTTCTGTTAGACTTGAGGTAAACATATTTTTGAACCAAAATCTTAACTCATGTGATAAGATATAATCCTTTCATAAAACCTCAATTTTTGAAAGTACACTTTTTCCCTTGAATTTGGTACTGTCCCAGAAAAACTGGGATGTGTAGTTAGATTATAACAAGTACAGTTAATAAAACTTGGCTTCTTCCTGCCTGTGCAAAGTAGGTGAAGATATGAACAAAAATAATTGATCCCTATGATTTTGCTTCCATTTTTACATGACGTGTAAGAACCCAGATTTTTATGTGTAAGCAACATGTATTTAAAAATGAAGGCCCTTACTGCTAAATACTGAACACTTCTGGTTCGTCATGACTGAAAGAAAATGTTAAAGATTTGAACATGTTAGTGGAATGCTTGTATTTTAAAGGTGATTGTAGAGTAGGTTGAATGTGTTTAATTTGTTTCTGCACCTCTGGACACTGTGGCAATAGTATTTTACATTTTGTTAATTTTCTTCTTGTTATCAAGGCTCCTCTCTGTGTACTGTATTTGATTTTTACAAAATCTGTCTCCTCACCAAAAATCCATTTTCTTTTTAGATCATTCCTTAAGAGTATTTAGTTTTCTTTTTAAAAATTCCTATCCACTTTTAAGTCATCTTATATTCAGCCCCCAAGTGTATTTTGAAATTGCACAATTGAAGAAGGAAAATTGGGAGTTTTATGAATAGTTCTTGATTTTGCACAATAAGAAGTTTAACTTCAGTTTGCTGCAAAGAGGTTGTCTCCATTTTTTTTTCCAAAAATAGACATGTTGCTTTGTAGTGTTATCATAGTTTTTTTTAACACTCCATAAAGCTTTAATAAACCATTTTCTCCAAAGATTTTCAAGTGACCTGTTTCATAATTATTTTTCATCCCATTAAGGAATAACATGGGTACTTTTGACATTTCTCACTACATTTTATTTCAGGGCAAAAGATTAGTTTAGTAATCATTTAGATTTTTGGTGGCTAATTGTATGATGCTTTTATTATTGTTATTGTAACTTACGACATTTTGATTTTTAAGTAGTAATATAAATTTTGGACTTTGAAAACAGACATTTCCCCATCCTAAATGACACTTTCATATTCATGCTTGTTCAGGTTCCACAGTGTATCTGGATAGATTATTGTTACATGTATCATAAACAAAAAATCTAGCAAAATTAAAATTAAAATATAGAATAGTTTTTGTTTTGATAAATAAGCAGAGAAAATATATTTTGCTATTTTGTTGAAAAGGTGTTTTTGTTGCAATCCCTAAATTTAGTAAGTCCTTTTTCCTAAAATGTTGCTTATTCTGTGAATTTAAGGAAAAAAAAGGTGTGATGGAAAACCAAATGAGCATAGATATGGGAATTTTAAGTCACTTAGAATTTTAATTTGATAAAACCAGTGCCTTTAAACTTCTATTTAAAGCTCTATATTTTCTTAAACATTGCTTTTGAAAATTAATTTTAAAAGAATACATTTTAAATTACTAGAATTTTATTCCATGGAACTATGTAAATTCTCCCACAACCTTAAGCAAGGCTCAGAATGTGATTTTAAATAAACTTTTCCCTTCATTATGTCATAGCAAGATTGTTAAAAATGGTTGGATGAAAGCATTTTTGTGCCCCTTAGACCACATTGATAATTAAGAGTAAACATATCCATGTCATTTTTTATCACATTTGTTAGATTTTTTTTTCATATTTGTGAGTGCATTTTCTTTTTTCTCCATTTTTCTGTTCCCCCTACACATTTTAAATTTGTGGCATACACACATTAATTTGATTTTCCTGATATTCCACTGTAGTGCATTTTCCACTTCTTGCTCCCTCTCTGGATTGAATCATAATGCAAAATCTTGAAGAGAGCCTCTTTCTTGAGTTATGGAAATGTAAATCTTAGAATAGAAATGATAATTTATGGACAAGTAAATAATGTTAGAGGCAGAAAAATTGGCATGAAGTTAAAGATGGCAGCTTTCCAAAATGGTTTTGAGTTTATTATCTTATTATGAGAGCTCTAGTTAGCTGTTGGCCAAAACACATGATAATAAATTTTTTTTTGAAAGACATGAGTATATAATGGCTACCTAGAGTTTCTGTAGAGACCCAATAAAGTGATTATCTTCTGAGTGGAGACATTTAGGCAATCCTTCTTCACACTCACCTACCTACTAACATTAATCAATGGAAATCAAACCAGGAGGACTAGAGATCTGTTTATCTAGGGACAATCATTTTAATCATCATGATTGATATGTCAGATATCACTTGTTTTAGGAAAGTATATGAAATAGTAACTGTGTATGCAATTTTTTTTAATATCTGTTAGGAAAACACTGTATTTACTAAGTGTATTATTTCAAAAAAAGATTACTCGGTGCTATCTATGTAGAACTTCTTGTTCTATGTTGTTTGGGATTTTATACATCTACATATTGAGGAAGTACCAACAGACAAGTCTTGCCTTTCTTCATGTGGTTATGTTATACAACTCCAAATTACAAAACAAGTAGCCTAGGATCCTTCAGTTTGTGGTTACTGGTAGATGGCCACAAAATTTTTGTTTTTTGGAGTAGAGCGCAGCCCATCAGTGACTAAAATGTGTTATTACTCCTCACCACTTGACTAAGGACTGTGTGATCACTTGTCAAGAATGTTGTAGAAAGGATTCATTATGTAGATTTGGGGGTAAACAATGATTTTTTGAGTTTCCTTCCAATTCAAGATTCTGTGCTACTAAGATGAGTAAAGTTTATAATGAGTAGATAAGTTCCCCAAGTGTGGGCATCTACATCGTAAAAGCATCTCATTTTGTAGCATTTTGACTTTCTGAAATCAAATGCCAAAGATTGAAAGAATAAGTAAGGAATTTAGCACCTTTCACAGAAGCAAACATGATACATGCCTACCCTCAAACCCACAGGTTAAAAAAATATGTTGACTGTGGCTTTCCATTTTGATTTCAGTTTGTAATTTGATACCTTTTTTATAAATTATGAAGCCACTTAGAAAATGCTTTAAAAGGCTGAAATGACTTACTGTTGCTTGGTATTCCAGATTTTGAAAATCGCTACAGTGATCAAGAGAAAAAATTAAATTTAGGAATTTACAGTTATTACACACTTTTCTTAGCAGATTAGAAGTATGAATTTATTCTTTTTCTTGATTGTTCTAATTAAAAAATGTTATCCAGTGGATTAATTCTGTCTTCTAAGGGGCTAAACAATTACCAATTTTGTAATTTGTTGTAAGTCTTGTTTCACAAAATCTGTGAGTGATAGTACTAGGAGGCTGGCAAATTATCTCAATTGGTTGGCCGATCATAGAAGTAAGGTTTACAGGCACCTTAAAAACTTTTAGCCACCTATTGCTAGCCCTTCCTGAAGTAGTTCTCATGTGTAATCAATTTCAGTACATACTATTCAAGGCTGCCTTTCTTTGGCGTGGCATCAACTCTGTTTTAAAAATAAATACTGCTAACATTGTCGGAAATCCTCTGCTACAGGCAGAATTCAGTTTTTTAAATGAAATTGTGTATTTCTCTTCCTTACAAAAACCATTCATGTGAAAATCTAAAAATGTTTCTCTGGGCTTTTGAGCAGTATCAAAGTGTGATATATACTTTAAAGGAGGACTACCTCTAGTTTGACAAGACTGTTACCTCTGTTGTACAGATAAATCACTCTTATTGATCTCTAAGAAAGGAGAAGCTAGGATGATTCCCTAGATTCACAGGCAGATTATTTTATTAGTACTTTTCTCAAATCTTCTCCCACATGAGCTTTTTCCACAAAACAGTTTTATGTATGTCAATATCTCATTCATCTAAAGTTACCTACAACAGGTTTCTTTACATCAAACATAATACAGGTGAAATAAAAGAAATATTGAATTCATTTAGCAATTAATTCATGAAACACTGCTATTCACAATTTTATAATTTTGCCCTTCTTATAATATTTTCTTTCTTTACTCCGAGGTTATATCTAGTAAATTTTTATCTTCTTTATCCTAAATGTTTATATACCCACTAGGTACAATTTTAGTTATATTAGTATTTCAGTAGTAATAATAAATTATGATGTCATATGATTGAGATAACAAGTGAAATCTGGTTTTTGTTAATGAAAAAGCTATAGAATGAAAAAGCTTTTTGAAGAAAATTATTTTGGCCTTGTATATACTTCAGAATGGTTTTATAAAAAAGTTAATATTGTTCATTGTTTTATATAAAAATCTTTACTTGTGTAGGGTAAAAATGCAGAAGTTTTTACAAAATTTGAATGGTAAATGTTTTAAAGATATTTAATGGTAAATGTATAATATATTTGCTTAAAACAATAAAGTAAGCCTATTATTTATGGGACAGCATAAATATATTGTTGCATCATTAGTATAATCGTAAGTTGATTTGTTAACAAAAATTTTAAGCTAAAAAGATAGATTTATTTGTACTTCATGCAATTTATATTTTATTGACTCACCATTTCTGATATGTAACCATACAACATATATATATATGCACATATATACATGTATTAGTTTTCCAGTTTGTGTGCAGTAATCAAGCGTGAAGTTTCTACATTTTTTATTCAAGTGATTGCCTGTCCTTTTTATACCTATATATACATGTATTAGTTTTACAGTTTGTGTACAGTAATCAAGCGTGAATTTTCTAGATTTTTTATTCAAGTGATTGCCTGTCCTTTTTATATCTATATATACGTATATGTTTATCTTGAGCTGGATATTGCTGTTCTGCTGTCAAAAGTCATTGTAGATATATGAACTTGCAGAAACACTCAAAAAATTTTACTGATAAACTTAGGAGGGAAATGAATTTAAAAAGTGTTGGTTTAGGAATACGTATATTTAAAAATCTAGTATGTCTATGCACACATTTCAGACTGAATGCATGTTTTGTGGTTTACAGGAAGAAATCTTTGGTAGTTAACATTTGTAGTAGTTTCATGCTAAATTCAGGAAAATAATGCATGCCTGTTATATGCCTCTTCCTCTCCCACCCGAATGTCAAGATATTTTCTTCAAAGGTAGAAACACATTTAGGAATTTTTTTACATCTAAGTGGCTATGTTAAGGGTATTAAAATTCTAATAAGCTATACTTCAAAATAATAGAAACTAGATAGAGAATTTAAACCTTTAAATGATGTATCTGGCTTTGTGAAAAAATCATTCTAGGCTGTCATTTGTAAAGAATCCTGTATTTTAAGAGTACTCAGGTTACCAGTTGGAACTTATATCACCTAATTAACTACCAAGAAATGATTTTGAATTTCTCCTCTATTTATGCTAGCATATATTGACATCTTTTAATACAAATGATCTTTGAATGAAAATATTGTTAGGCAGTCCACCATGTTAACCTTAACTTTATTAAAACATACAACACAGAGTAAAAATTCTATTTCAACAAAGGGAAGAGACTAAACCTAAAAATACGCAATGATTTCCAGAAGACAGATTAAAAATGATAAACATCTCACTGGGAATTCCCCACACAGATGAAATCGCAGGTCTTGAACCTGAAAAAGAAAGAAATCAATTAAAAATTTTAAGTAGCCTTGTCATATTTTATGAATTATTTTTTAAAATGTGTTTGATTAATCTTCATTTGGCTTTTTTAATAATGAAATTTTCTCCACATACTTTTTTACTATAAATAGCATTCTTCTCCAGTGGAGCTAACTTTTTAAAATTCATATGCCCTTCATCCTGTTTCTTTCTTGATGAAACACTCAGAAATATCTGATAGATACAGTGTCATGAAAATGTTAAGGACAAAACATTTTGAGGAGATAGTGCAAATATCTATTAGGGGGAAAAAATCTTAGAATCAAATTTACTCAAAATGGACTTAACATCTACATGACCTGGTTATGATAACTCAATCCTTTGACTCTCTCAATTTATCCTGCTAAGACTGTAAAATGAAGGGATAGTATGTATAAAGTCCCTTCCAGCCCTAACAGTTCAGGTATCTACCACATCCAGAATAGCACAGATTTCATTTTGTGTATAAAATGCTCTCTGGAGCTATTCTGAAAAGAAGCAAATACAATTTTGAAATAGGCTATGCCCTGCCCTCCTTTCCCTCCCCCCCATCATGTTTTTTTCATTTTTTGGACCTTATGCCATCATACAATTACAATCCTTTTTTAATTACTAGAGAAAAATATCTTATTTATTTTTACTTTGTGGAAAGCCTCATACTCATTTTCTCAAGTATAATTAGAAAATATTTCTAACAGTCTTTCAGAATCTAATCATATCATTGTGAATTCTTTTCATTGTGAATACTTAATAGCGAATTTGATCTTTTCATTGTGAATACTTAATGGAGAATTTGATCAAGAGGATAGTAACTACTTAGAACACAGAAATAGTATATAACTAATGCTCCCTAATTAAAAGACTGTTAGAATTTACTTTTAAGATAAATTTCTTTCTGTGGAGAGCAGTAAAGTAGTCTTAGCCCTCTGATACTGCAGTGTACACCCCCCATACCATGAGTGAGTAAATATATGATGTTCAGATTAATCTGGCACTTTATATTTGCAAAGTGCTTTTAAATTACTCATTATTTAAATGGATTTCCATTTTAATGGGCATCTAAAATATATGTGTTTATACATATATATATAAAACACAGCTTTCTTATAAGGTCCAGTATATTATACACTAGTTGATTATCCACAAATCTAGTTATAGGACATAAATTTAATAAACAATTTTGAATGAAAATCTAGTTGAGGCATTATCTCCTAATAAGATGGCATTGATAATGTATTTTCAACTTCAGTTCCACATTTCTAAGTATAACAAAATGAATACTCTGTGTGTTTCTAGAATCTCCTAATGTACTATTTGTTTTATTTTTAAAAGTACACTGAGAAAAGTGGGGCACTGCTTGTTTTAAAGGTGAAAGGTAGAGTTTAGTAGCAAGCCTATCATAAAGCAACAAATGTGATATAATGGAGATTATATTACTTTCAGTTCACTAATATCAAATCTGTACCTTTGTTCAGATTTTAAAGTTTT